TCTATCTATCTATCTATCTATCTATCTATCTATCTATCTATCTATCTATCTATCTATCTATCTTATCTATCTATCTATCTATCTTATCTATCTATCTATCTATCTATCTATCTATCTATCTATCTATCTATCTATCTATCTATCTATCTATCTATCTATCTATCTATCTATCTATCTATCTATCTATCTATCTATCTATCTATCTATCTATCTATCTATCTATCTATCTATCTATCTATCTATCTATCTATCTATCTATCTATCTATCTATCTATCTATCTATCTATCTATCTATCTATCTATCTATCTATCTATCTATCTATCTATCTATCTATCTATCTATCTTTTTATCTCTGTATGCGTGTATGTGTATCGGGTGTAAATGTGTGTGTATTCAAAATTAAAAGTCATAATTAATACAAAGTCAAAAGCAAGTATGAAAATAATAGAAAAGTAGTAGCAGTAGCAGCAGATTTAAATGGTGTGACAGAATCCCTAATGTAGATCTTTCGGAGAGAACTTAACAAGTTCCAACAACCAAGAGATTAAACAAACTAATAAAAAAAAACGCTGACTTTGGATAGACACGTTGAAAAAACCTGAGAACAGAATAACTAGAATGTCTTTGTACTAGAACCCACAGGGACGTAGAAATAAAGGAAAACCAAAAACGCACGGAAAATGAAGCTAAAGAGTGAAGTCAAAAAGATGGGAAGAACATGGGGAGAGCTGCAGGTGATAGCGAAGGATAGAACGACTTGGCGTGGGTTGGTTGAGAACATATGCGCTATTGGGAGATTGAAGGCAAAAGAAGAAGATGTAGCAGCAGCAGCAGCAGTAGTAGTACCTGGCTGGGTATTTCACTGCAGTTCTCTCGCCTGGGATGCTAACCAAATGTTTTTAGCACTGGGAAACCTTGTCTCGCATCATTGATACCATTCCTTCTTCCTTCTTCTTTCTTCTTCTTTCCTCTACTCCTGGAATGTCTTGCGGTGTCAGGACAGAAAGAGATCTCTGGAACAGGCCCTTCGTATAAAGTACTTTTCTGTGTCTCTGATATTTATGCGGTCCATCTTCTACGTGGTCGACCTCTGGCTCTTTACCATTCCAACAGGGCAAATCCAGTATAACCTGTTAACTCTCCAATGAAGAGGTAATTAGGGCACCCGTTTCTGCTACACTAATATTTTGATTTGATTTGATTCAAGAAAAGACATCACAGCTCTCGGGGCATTTTCATAAGCGATCCATCCCCATCTTCAGCAGCCTGCAAAGAGTTCCGAAACTAATGGGGCCAGGGGCATTCTGATTAAACGTCCGTCTTGCCTTTTCTCTGAGCCTCGAGCATCTGCCAGAACCTCTCGTCACCCCTCCCCCCCCCTGCATCAGTCTCACCAGACTGTAGTGATCCATCTGCTTCTCCAAACTGTACACGCTCTTCTACAAGGCGCTAACCACGTCGGCCTTATCATGCATCCGTTTTCCACCGAGTTGTGCAGAGCCAGCCAGTCTGTCTGCCTGTTCATTTCCCAACCCACCTGCGTGTCCCGGTGAAAAAAAAATCTGACAATACTCCCCACCCGTGTCCTCCGCAACGAAGCATGCCACTCTGCACGAAGCATGCCTGTCCTGATCTTCCTCAGCATGCTTTCTGAGTCAGTTACAATCACAATATGTGTTTGTGTGTGTGTTTGTCGTGTTCTCTAACCAGCAGAAAGTGACCACCTCCACGTCCATTCTTAAGATGGATGTTGTGGTATCGCCTACACTAAATATCACCCTAAGGTATCCGGATGTCCTCTAGTTTACATAATTATTCGTCTGAATAAATTTAACACCGTGTGTTGTTCCAACAGTTTTTGTAAACACATCGTTTCTCACTCGATCTCTTCTGGTTTTATTCTCAGCCATTCTCAAACATCTCATCTTACAGGTGGTTAGTTTTGTTCGTGTTTTTTTTTTTTTTTATGTCTAAGTCTGATATTGGTAACCTAAAGTCGGTATAAATATTGTTTAATAGTGGTGGTTTCAACAGTCGTAATTTCTTCGTTTCTCAGATGACTTCTTCTTCTTTTTCTTCTTCTTCTTCTTCTTCTTCTTCTTCTTATTCTTCTTCTTCTTCTTCTTTCGTTCGCTTGAAGTAGATTATCTATATCTGCAATGTAGTCTCTAGTATGAACTTCACTGTCTTTTGTAACTCACTCAGCGAGCCGTAAAGTTTAATTTGCACCGATGTTTCTCTTGGTCGAAAGTTTTGCCTTGGTATGTTGTATTTGGGACAGTCTTGGGTGACATGATTTTTTTCTAGCTTTTGTCCATGACAAGTTCAACCCCTAAAAAATGTATAATTAGGATACCCGTAACAGCCACACGAGTCTTCCTTAGCCTCCGGTCAGTCTGGCTATATTAACATAATGATCACTTGCTAAGATTCTCAAAGGAAAGCAAATATCGAAAACACAACAACAATACAAGTCGCGCGAATTCTGTTTGACTTCTGGCATTCATTTTACATTGTTAAACTTGCTGAAGATTTTGGCTTCCGGCAAACCCTAGCTATTCTTGGCGTTGGGGCCTGTTTTTATAACAGTTCTTCCACAATGTTGCTTGTCCTAGTTGGGTTATTTTTGTTGTTTTTGTAAAAATGTCTTAATAAGAGAGACCTTTCCAGCGCTGGCTGTAACATACAAGGGAAATAACTTCGTTTAAGGAGATGTGACAAGGGAGAGTAAAGGGAAGGCTATTATGATGAGAATGTCATGGGTAGCTTTAACACACTTGGATAGACAGACGGACAGACAGACATACATTTACATTAGATTTACAAAAATATAGACAGAACTTTAGATTGTTTTTTGAAAGAGATACGGGATACTGCAAGGCAAGTTAGACATAAATAAAGGCAGGATAATATATAAACATACTGAGAGTGAGAGAGAGAGAGAGAGATGGACAGACAAATATATTCAAAGAGAATGTATTGTCAACAGACTTCATAAATTAGCAGGCAAAAAGACAATTGGATTAAAAGGGGAACTTAGACAGACAGTTATATTAGTTAAATGAAAATACCGACAGACAGACAGATTAACAAACAAAACACTGTCAGACAGACAAATTACACGAACATAAGTTGTTACGTTAGATTGGTAAACAGTAAAGGTATACAAACTGTCAGTTAGATTTGATATGTATAGACAGATACCGATAGGCACGCAGCAATTATATGTATGTTGAATTAAGAATCGACCATACAGCACTCGGGACAATCCCATAAGCGCTCCGTCCACATCTTCAGCAGCAAGCCAAGAGTTTAAATGTCGATTGTACCAGTAACTGTCTGATTGTGTATTCGTTTCGCCTTTCCCCTGAGTATCGAGTCGGCCAGATAACCTTGTAACTTCTCGAAGTGCCATTAACAATATGTGCATAAAGCGGAAAAATAGATAGCAGATGTGAATATTATCTGTAAATATATATGATCGGAGCATCGGGGAGAATTAGCAACAAAACGTAAAAGTTGCGGCACTGGAGCCTTCTTCAGCACATACATAGGTCGATGTCAAGACAATAATCTGGCGAGGCACGTGAGACTGTGAAAAAGTATCTGGGGATATGCCAGAGGCCGTCACTCGAGTATGAGAGGAAATTGTTTAGGCAGTTCAGTCCCCTAGGATTTAGTGGAAGCTGTGTTGGCAGTTTAGTCCACTAGGCGCTATAGTTCCCAAGTGTATATTAAGTGATTTTCAAGAGACTTGTGAACTCTGTGGTGTGAGTGGCTAAATGTAATGGCTGCTAGGTCCTTGTCGTGGACACCTTGGTTGTCCAAGGAATCGAACTGCAATGGTACTGGTTTCAGGGCGCCGTTCTGCACGTCCAAAAGATGTTGTTTAAACCTTTCAGCTAGTCGTAAACCCGTGTATATAATGCCACATCTCTTGTAGTTAATGGCGTAAATTACATTACGGCTCGTGCAATAGAAGGCTTCACTTGTGTAGAATCATTTTATGGATGATGAGGTACGTTCTGCCGCTCTTAGAACGTTGCCGCGCCACCCCCTCTTCCCAAATTGAAGCGAACTGTCTACATGTATTTTTTTTTTTTTTTTTTGTCGAGGTTTCAACTTCACTGTCAACATAAGTTCAAATTTTTCGGTGTAGGAAACACGGAGACGTGTCCCTGCAGCGTGGCACCCGAAAACGCTGAGCATGTGCTCCAACACTGTCAACTGTATGCTGACAACAGAGACGCAATCTGGCCTGTTCCAACTACAATGAAGACAAAACTGTATGGTACACGAGAGGATATGGATTGCACGATAGCTTTCATAAAGGCTACCGGACTTTTGATAAAAGTTTTCTGACAGAAGGATCTAAGAAGAAAAAGACTGCAATCGGGTTTCCCCATACTTACCCCGTTCCTGTGCTACTGACAATCAAAGGAAATGTCCCTCACTGTCCCATTTAAAAAACGGGTGAACAAATAATAAGTCCCTGAACAATCTAGAAATATGCGCACACAGTAAATGCATATGGCAGTTTCTAGAGGCGCCAAAGCCAACTGACGCCATCGGAAATGCATTTTGTAGTTGGTGGAAGAAGTCGAGCATGATAAGTTGGCTATCCACAAATATGATTATTACATAAGGCGACATCTAAACCGGCTATCAACCATACTGAGTACCACGAAATAACCACTGAACAAATGAAAGACATTCGATATGAAGAAACATCTCACGGGGCTGCACCAAGCACTTAACTCAGTAGCTCAGACAGTGACACCCTAGACTACTGTGGAAACTGCATTAGCAAAGCGCTGTCGGAAGCAAAAATAAATTCAAAGCTTTACATTCTCCCATGCCTAATCCTTCATTTTACAATATGATTTTGTTAGATTTTCGTTGTTTCCAGCAGGGATTTCTCAACTTGTTATAAAATGCCGAACTCTGACATATGTCTCCCTCAGGTATCTTTAGCCGCTAGTTGCAGGTGACGGCGACGATGTCTATGTTGAACCTATCAGTGATCGAGGACGTCACAGCTGGGCCAGCAGAATCAACTGGAGCCGCCATGGATAAGGATACGGAGAAGATTGTCGTCAGTGTTATTCTCAGCATCTTCTGCGTCTTTGGAACAGTCGGTAGGTGCCTTCAGTATCTTCGTTCTTCTTTGTATTTCCTAGTTTGATCCTAAATGTGAAAGTTATGAGATATATTCTGTTGTTACTTCTGAAATTCCTTAGTTCTTCTTTTTATGCCAATTATTTCTGAAATTCCTTTGTTCTTCTTTTTTTACGCCACAGTTATTTCTAAAATTACTTAGTTCTTCTTTATATGCCATATTTATTCCTAATATTCCTTTGTACTTATTTATATTCCAAAGTTATTTCTGAACTTCCTTCGTTCTTCTTTATATTCCATAGTTATTTGTGAAATTTCTCATTTCATCCTTATATTGTATAATTATTTCTGGAAATCCTTTTTTCTACTTTAATTTTCCTATTTATTTCTGAAACTATTTATTTCTTTTTTATAATCCACAATTATTTATGAAATTCCTAATTTCATCTTTTTATTCCTTAATTATTTCTGATATTCCTTTGTTCTTCTTCTTTATATTTGCTAATTTTTTCTGAAACTTTTTTTTTCTTCTTTATATGTCATAATTATTTATGATATTCCTTAGTTCTGATTTATATTCCAGAGTTATTTATAATATTCCATAGTTCTTCTATATATTCCCATGTTATTTGAGAAATTCCGGTGTTCTTTTTTATATCCACAGTTATTTCTGAATTCCTTTAGGTTTTTTTATTTATTTTTTCAGAGTTATTTATGATTTTCCTTTGTTCTTATTTACATTCCACAGTTATTTTTGAATTCCCTTAGTTCTTGTTTTTTTTTTTTTTTCAGTTGTTTCTGAGATTCCTTAGTTCCTTTTTTTCATATTTCTTTCCGTGTGTCTTCCGGGGCGCTGTTGTGGGAGACAACTAGAATAGATCCACTGCCTCCCTCACAACGAGCATGTCTTAGGAGATGCTTTCGAAGTCGGAGTGTATCTGTCTGAGAGGCAAGAAGCCAACAGTCTGCATAAAAATGAGCCAAATCTGTAAAACGGATGTGCACGCAGTACTCAGGTTCTGAAACAAGACTAAAATCCAAAGGTGGACAAACAACCAGAACTCTCCGCCAGAGTTTACAACCGGTGAATTCTTTATCTTATGTACCCAGGGTTAGTCCTAGTAAATTCACTCTGTTTTTTTTTAAATTTTACTTCTGACACTGGCAGCCCGAAACTGGAAAAAAACATCGTCTTCTCCAGCATTCCGATCCCTTGAGATCATTCTCTTTCCAACTGGTGACACCAAGTGTTTGCACGTCTGCCTGGACATTATCTGTCCATCGTCTTCTTAGTCTGCCTCGTGGTCTACGACAGTTCATCTCCCTCGTTAATACAGTTTTTACTTCTCTGTCATCTGACATTCTTACAATATGCCCCAACCATTTTAATATTTTAGCTCCTATGATGTCAGAGATTATTGGTGATTTAAACAGATTATGAATTTCGTTGTTGCTTCTCACTCTCCTTTTAAAGCTGTTTGTAGAATTAACGTTGCATAGATAATTATTTGTCTTTTTAAAAAAAATCTCTGTAGGAATAACAGTGTTTCAAGATTGGGGTAATTGGATCGGTGACGCTGTTGGCTTATTGATTTTCTGTTTCTATTTCTTTGTCTAGTCTGCCATTCTTTGTCATCATCCTCATATTCTCATCATATTCACCATCTTCATCGCAATCATCAACATCCTTATCTTCATCATAATCATCAACATCCTTATCTTCATCATAATCATCAACATCCTTATCTCCATCATAGTCATCAACATCCTTATCTTCATCATAATCATCAACATCCTTATCTTCATCATAATCATCAACATCATTATCTTCATCATAATCATCAACATCCTTATCTTCATCGTAGTCATCAACATCCTTATCTTCATCATAGTCATCAACATCCTTATCTTCATCATAATCATCAACATCCTTATCTTCTTCATGATCATGATCTTCATATCCTCTTGCTGCTCGTCATCATCAGTATTATCATCATAGTCGTCAGCATCGTCGTCATTATCCTAATCATCTCATCATCATCATCATTTTGTACTGATAGGTGTAAGCCATCATGTTCCGTCGTCAGCAGGTCTCGGATCAAGTCAATGCTCTTGTCTAGCCATATCAATATGGCAGAGCTATCCAGGCATTTATCTTCCTGTGCCTTGCTCTTTTTCGATCAGTCATGTTAGATGTCACCTGACAGCAAAAGTAGAGCACGGACTTTACGGACGAATTGAGGAATTAAGAGAAACAAAAAATGAATTTAAACACAAAATGAAGAAATAAATAACAAATGTATATTGACAGAAACATCATATTTCGCAATCCGTGGTATTTCTAACAGATGCAAGAGCGGTGCTTCGGGCACTTCAATCTGGAAAACTACTTGGTATACGAACACTACTCTCCAAACGATGCAGCCGGTGTAAGGTAACTATGCAATGGATAACATCCCACTGTGGAGTTCCTGGAACTAAAAGAGCTGATAAACGCGCTAAGGAAGGTGCAAATGAAGAACAATCTGACCAACCAGTCTCCTATCAACAAACGAAGAGAATAATCAAATCAATCAGAAAGCCGTCAAACCCGGCACAAGACGATTACCATTTTATGGACAGACCAGAGCAAGTTATAATTCTACGCCTTAGAACATGTCACAGTCGACTTCGCAGCCATATGTACACCACATTTAAGATAAGCAAATCAGCCATGAGCACATGTGGACTGGCACCTGAGACAACAGATCATATCTTCCAAGACTGTCCCAAATACAACATATCAAGGCAAAGCTTTTGGCTAAGAGAAACATCGGTGCAAATTAAACTTTACGGGTCGATGATTGAATTACAAAAGACAGTGAAGTTCATACTAAAGACAACATTGCAGATATAGATAATCTATTTCAAGCAAACGAACGAAGAAGAAGAAAAGAAGAAGAAGAAGAAGAAGAAGAAGAAGAAGAAGAAGAAGAAGAAGAAGAAGAAGAAGAAGAAGAAGAAGAAGAAGAAGAAGAAGAAGAAGTAAGAAGAAGAAGGAGAAGAAGAAAGAAGAAGGAGAAGAAAAAGAAGGAGAAGAAGAAGAAGAAGAAGAAGAAGAAGAAGAAGAAGAAGAAGAAGAAGAAGAAGACGAAGAAGAAGACAAGAAAGAAGAAGAAAAAGAAGAGATGAAGAAGAAGAAGAGAGAAGAAGAAGAAAGAAGAAGAAGAAGAAAAAGAGAGAAGAAGAAGAGAAGAAGAAGAAAAGAGAAGAAAGAGAAGACGAAGAAGAAGAGAAGAAAAAGAAGAAGAAGAAGAAGAGACGAAAGAACAAGAAAAGAACAAGAAGAACAAGAACAAGAAAAAAAGAAGAAGAAGAAGAAGAAGAAGAAGAAGAAGAAGAAGAGAAAAAGAAGAAGAAGAGAGAAGAAGAAGAAGAAGAAGAAGAAGAAGAAAGAGAAGAAAGAAGAAGAAGAAGAAGAAGTAAGAGAAGAAAGAAGAAGAAGAAGAAAGAAAGAAGAAGAAAGAAGAAGAAGAAGAAGAAGAAGAAGAGAAGAAGAAGAAGAAGAAAAAGAAGAAGAAGAAGAGAAGAAGAAGAAGAAGAAGAAGAAGAAGAAGAAGAAGAAGAAAAAGAAAAGAAGAAGAAGAAGAAGAAGAAGAAGAAGAAAGAAGAAGAAGAAAGAGAAGAGGAGAAAAAAAGAGAGAAGAAGAATAAGAAAGAAGAAGAAGAAGAAGAAGAAAAGAAGAAGAAGAAGAAGAAGAAGAAAGAAGAAAAGAAGAAGAAAGAAGAAGAGAAGAAAAAGAAGAATAAGAAGAAGAAGAAAGAGAAGAAGAAGAAGAAGGAGAAGGAGGAGAAGAAGAAAAAAGAAAGAAAGAAGAAGAAAGAAAGAAATAAGAGAGAAGAAGAAGAAGAAGAAGAAAAAGAAAGAAAGAAGAAGAAAGAAAAGAAAGAAGAAAGAAAGAAAGAAAGAAAGAAAGAAAGAAAGAAAGAAAGAAAGAAAGAAAGAAAGAAAGAAAGAAAGAAAGAAAGAAAGAAAGAAAGAAAGAAAGAAAGAAAGAAAGAAAGAAAGAAAGAAAGAAACACATGCATCCAAAGAAAAAACTCGGACAGTTAAATATAAGAAATACTGTTCAATTGCCTCGAAGAGACCTGACTCGGTCGGTTTTTTTTATTATTCCAAGATGTATTTTACATTCTTCTCAGAAACATCTCGGCTACCAGTATCTTACATTCAACAAAATGACTTATTACGTTAGAAGCTTTTCATTTTCTGATATGCACTTTTTGTTTGGCCTGTCCTGCTCTTAATCCCGCTTATTGATTTTTCATAGGAATGATGAGAAAGACAAAATAGGCATTAGGGAGAGGGGGAGGTAGGAAGGAAAAAGGGAGGGGGAGGGGGAACTGTCTTGACTGTTTGTGTTTAATACATTTTAGGGCAGCGTTTGAAGTTTGAGGTTTGAACATCAGATCAACATCATGGCAGACGGATAGTAACCCATAAGTGCTCCGTTCTTCTTCTAACTCAAGTCTGAGTCCGAAGAAGCTGAGCACAGTGCACAGGCTCTGTAGCACCGGCGATGATCCTGAAATACTTAAGGTAGATTCTTAACTCTAAATTTTGTCCAGGCAGCGCCGTTAGGCTGCTCTTTTAGATTTCCAACTGCAATGTGATGTTTTTACATGCGCAACAATGCACACGGGCGTCCGATCTCACTACCCAGAGACCAGTAGAAATACTAGAAGTCCAAGTCCACGTGAAAATAATCCCAGCCCTTACCGGAGATTGAACCAGCAACCTATAGCATTCGAGGCAGACACATTATCTCGTCACCCCGCAGCCCCTCAGACAGGGCTTTTCAACTAAGTTTACCAAGGGGCCAAAATTTGGAAAATGAGGTTTGCCATGGGCCAGAGGGCTAAACCTTAGCATAGATAGATCATTATTACAATAAAACTGGTAATGATCCGCGGGTCAATTGCTAGGCCCCCGCAGGTCAGATCTGGCTCCCAGGCCGCCAGTTGAATAGCCCTGCCCTAA